CTCTAGGGTGTGTCTCTGCCGTCCCTTTCCCTGGCCCCCAGCCATCCGTGGCTGTCACTAGTATCTTTCCGCATCAGTTTTGTATGTGAAACTGAGTCAGGAATGGTGCAGGCTGTAGACTGGCAGTTGGGAGTAGCGCCATGCCTGTTTGTGAGAATGAAATTGCATTCAGTTTAAAGATGTGTGTGGGGAAAATGATGTAAACACCGTGGGCAATGTGCTTTTCCACTCGTGGCCGTAAAACTGAGTCATCAGCACAAGAGAATGTACACGCATTCTGACCCACTGCTTCTGGTCTGCTTGAGTCTACAGAGGTCTTGCTTTGCTTAGTGAGACTAGATTTTTCCAAACTGCATGCTCACTAAAAGAAAACTCCTCCACACAGTGGCTCGTCAAGTCCCAAGGAAGAAAGGTCTGTGCCCAACTTTCCCAGGCAGTACACGTATATTCGTGGGTTCCTGGTCCGGCTGGACTACTTGGTTCAGATTCCAGCTTCATTGTTTTACCCCTGTGGCTTGGTCAAGTACCGTTGTCTCAAAATGGACACAACAGTCCTTTCCTTACAGTGTGGCTGTGATAAGTGACTGACATGTAGCCTGTGGGAGGTACGCCGCACGCAGTCAGTGGCTGTTGTTACAACCACAAGTGTGCGTTGTTGCTACTGGGGGATGGTAGATTGTGCCATTCCCTGTGTGGATTGTCCTTGAGGATGTTCAAGGGGACCTTAGCAAGCTCCCCTTCCTCACTATTTCTCACTTTTGCACTGGGCACCAGCATGATGTGTACATGTGTGGTTTGTGGGGCCACGTGTTAGCCAGCAACACAGCTGTTGGGCAGGTGGGCCTGTGGGGTGAGCAGGATCGCTTCCCGTAGAGGTCACGTGAGTGTGCAGAGACCCTGACCTAAGAGTGTGAATCAATGTGAATCAAACATTTCGGCCGCTGGCATTTTCTGCACACCTCTAGGCGTCTATCCCTTGTGTTCACAGAGCCTCTGTTGGAGAGCCATGTTCGTCATCTCTGGTCCCATGGTATCGCATGGGTCCACCACGGTCGTTTGCATCACTGTGGCATTCTAGGGCTCTGTCACTCATCCCTGAGCCCACAAAATTGTAACTCAGCACTGGCCGTCACTTTGAAGACTTGGATGTCACGGGTGTGCGTTTGCCTTCCCCACACTTGCTTACCTTCCCCTTCTCCTCACAGCGTCTCCCCCAGCCCTGCAGTGCACACACAGTGTGCCCACTCTGCTGTGTCAGAGGACCTCTCAGGCCCTGCCACACCCATGGCCTCCTTCCTCTAAAACCACTACAGACATCCCAGGCTTCCATCTGTCCTTTTGCTTTCTTTCCCATCTTTTTCATCTCCTGTGGCCCCTTGGCTTTTTTAAATTAACTTTTATTTAAATTAAGATAATCTTATTTTAAATACCAATCCCAGTTCCCTCTCCCTCCTGCCCTCCCATTCCCCTCACCAACCCCCCATCTGCCCCTCAGGGAGGGTGAGTGCTCCCGTGGGGGATCATCAAAGTCTGTCCCATCATTTGGGGCAGGACCTACATCCTCCCCTCTGTAGCAAGGCTGAGAGAGTGTCCCTCCATAGGGAAAGTCTATTCCAAAGTCTATTTGTGCCCTAGGGATAAATACTGGTTCCACTGCCAGAGGCCCCATAGGCTGCCCAGGCCTCTTAACTGACACCCATGTTCAGGGGGTCTGGTTTGGTCCTGTGCTGGTTCTCCAGCTCTCAGTCTGGGTCTGTGAGCTCACACTTGCTCAGGTCAGCTGTTTCTGTGGGTTTTCCCAGCATGGTCTTGACCCCTTTTCTCATCATCCTTCTCTACATCTGGATTCCAGGAGTTCAGCTCAGTGCTTATCTGTGAATCTCTGCTTCTGTTTCCATCAGCTACTGGATGAAGGCTCTAGGATGGCATGTAAGGTAGTCACCAATCTCACTATAGAGGAAGGGCGTTTAAGGCAGCCTCTCCACTATTGCTTAGATTCTTAGTTGGTGTCATCCGTGAGGATTCCTGGAGATTTCCCTAGTGCCAGGTTTCTTGTTAAGCCCACAGTGGCTTCCTCTATTAAGGTCTCTCTTTCCTTGTCTTTCTCTGTTCTTCCCCCAACTTGACTGTCCTGCTCCTCCCCTTCTCCTCTCCTCTTTCTTCTCCCTCCCACCCCCTCCCATGCTCCCAATTTACTCAGGAGATCTTGTCCCTTCCCCCTTCTCCAGGGTCCATGTCTGTCTCTCTCAGGGTCCTCCTTGTTTCCTAGCTTCTCTGGGGTTGTGGATTGCAGGCTGGTTATTCTTTTCTCTACGTCTAATATCCACTTATGAGTGAGTACAAACCATGTTTTTCTTTCTGTGACTGGGTTACCTCACTCAGGATGGTTTCTTCTAGTTCCATCCATTTGCCTGCGAATTTCAACATTTCATTTTTTTTTCCTGTGTGTAGTACTCCATTGTGTAAATTTATCACATTTTCTTTATCCATTCTTCGGTTGAGGGGCATCTAGGTTGCTTCCAGTTTCTGGCTATTACAAATAGTGCTGCTATGAACACAGTTGAACAGAGGTCCTTGTTGTATGAAAGTGCATCCTTTGGGTATATGCCTAAGAGTGGAATTGCTGGATCTTGAGGTAGACTGATATCCTGTTTTCCTGAGAAACCACCATACTGATTTCCAAAGTGGCTGTTGAAGTTTGCACTCCCACCAGCAGTGGAGAAGTGTTCCCCTTTCTCCACAACCTCTCCAGCATAAACTGTCATTGGTGTTTTTTATTTTAGCCATTCTGGTCAGTGTAAGATGGTATCTCAGAGTTGTTTTGAGTTGCATTTCCCTGATAGCTAAGGATATTGAGCACTTAAGTGTCATTCGGCCATTTGAGATTCTTCTATTGAGAATTCTCTATTTAGTTCTGTACCCCACTTTTTAATTGTATTATTTGGTGTTTTGATGACTAGCTTCTTGAGTTCTTTGTATATTTTGGAAATCAGCCCTCTGTCAGATGTGGGGTTGGTGAAGATCTTTTCCCATCTGTGGGCTGCTATTTTGTCTTCTTGACTGTGCCCTTTGCCTTACAGAAGCTTCTCAGTTTCAGGAGGTCCCCTTTATTAATTGTCGATCTCAGTGTCTGTGCTATTGGCATTACGTTCAGGAAGCGGTCTCCTGTACCAATTCATTCAAGACTACTTCCCACTTTCTCTTCTAAGAGGTTCAGTGTGGCTGGATTTATGTTGAGGTCTTTGTTCCATTTGGACTGAAGTTTTGTGCATGGTGATAGATATGGATCTATCTGCAATGCTCTACACACCAGCATCCAGTTATGCCAGCACCATTTGTTGAAGATGCTTTATTTTTTCCATTTTATAATTTTAGCTTTTTTTGTCAAAAATCAGTTGTTCATAGGTGTGTGGATTAATATCAGGGTCTTCAATTCAATTCCATTGGTCTGTCTGTTTTTATGCAAATACCAAGCTGTCTTCATTACTATAGCTCTGTAATAGAGCTTGAAGTCAGGGATGGTGATGCCTCCAGAAGTTCCTTTAACATTCAGGGTTGTTTTGGCTATCCTGGGTTTTTTGTTTTTCTGCATAAAGTTGAGTATGTTCTTTCAAGGTCTGTGAAGAATTGTACTGGGATTTTGATGGGGTTACATTGAATGTCCTTTCATAGGCATGTCCTTCTTTAGGTTGGGAAAGTTTTCTTCTATGATTTTTTTGAATATGCTTTATGCACTTTTGAGCTGGGCTTCTTCGCTGCCCTCTATACCTATTATTGTTAGGTTTGGTCTTCTCATGATGTTCCATATTCCCTGGATATCTTGTGTTAAGGATTTGTTGGACTTAACATTTTCTTTAGTCAATGAGTCTATTTCCGCTAGTGTGTCTTCAGCACCTGAGACTCTCTCTTCCATCTCTTGTATTCTGTTGGTTATGCTTGTATCTGTAGTTCTGATCATTTACTCAGATTTTCTATTTCCAGCATTCCCTCATTGTGTGTTTTCTTTATTGTCTCTATTTCAGTTTTCAAGTCTTGAACTATTTGAATTGTTTCCTTCACCTGTTTGTTTTTTCTTGGCTTTCCTTGCTTTAAGAGATTTGTTGATTTCTTGCATTTTTTTTTTTTGGTTTGTCTTTTCCTCCATTTGTTCCATTTTTTTGTTAGTTTTTTCTTCCATTTCTTTAGGGGATTTTTCTCATTTCCTCTTTGAGGGCCTCTGTCATCTTCAAAAGTTGTTCTTAAGGTCATTCATTCTCTTCTGCTTCATCTGCGTTGGGAAGCTCAGGGCTTGCTGGTGTGGAGTCCCTAGACTCTGGTGGGGTCATATTAGTCCTTCTGTTGTTGACTGTGTTCTTATGCTGTTGTCTTCCCTTCCCTTCTTCCAGTGGGTGCAGGTGGGGCCTCTCCCTCTCCTGGTGGGTGTGGGGCCAAGGTTCCGATGGTGGCAGATGCTGGATGGTTTGGCTCCTTGGCTTGGAAAGTGGGAGCACTGGGAAAAAGTGCTTGGAGACTGGGAGCACTCTTCACAGATGGACAGACACACCCAGCAAATGGACTTTCTCCTCCAACCCTGTGAACTGTGTCCTTTGAGGCTCCAGTATCTGCGGCCAGAATTTGACCAGGAGTTGGCTCCGTGCATTAGGAACATTAGAAGGGTGGGGAACTAATTACCCCGGTCCAGGCACCTGGGAAACTAGAATTCTGGTCTTCAAGGAGAATGAAGGGTCCATCATTCCACGTCCAGTTCTCAGAGCAGGAGAAGTAGAAGTTTCGTGACTCCTGGTTGGAGAGAATTTGTATGATGGGACTAAAGCAGAATTGGCCCAGGAAGACAGTTCTACAACAGCGATGGGGCGTTAGTGTGTTAGCTGAGCATGTTGCCAGCCAACGGCTCTTGAAAATTCTGTGTATCCAGGTGATGCCTTAGATTTTACTCTCAAGTGCTAATTGTCCTAAGATGTTGACGCCACCTCCTTGTCTTTGTTTTTCTCTCTCTCTAGAATATTCTCCTTCTTGGATATCGTAACTCTTTGCCGGTGTGCACAAATTTCCAAGGTAGAGTATCACCTGATTGTTAGTATCAATGAGAGGACTGAGCTTGGTTCAAACACATTACAAGTAAATGTTGTCTTATTAAAATAACAGACTATAATTCTGTGTTTTATTTGAACTTGACTACACCATGAGCAGAAGTTTGGAAATACAAAACCTTATCCGTTCTTAGCAGACGAGTCCCCTCCTCACTCACTCACTCACTTTCCTCTCTTACCTCCCCCTCCCAGGCATGGAACATCTTAGCCCTGGATGGAAGCAACTGGCAAAGAATAGATCTTTTTAACTTTCAAACAGATGTAGAGGTAAGTTAGTCCACTTAAATTATTTTCATATTTATTTATTGTATGGGTATGTGCGTGTACATGCATTTGTCCAGGGTTTTAGTGTGGATCAAAGGACAACCTTGCAGGAGTTGGTTCTCCGGTCCCAAGGATCAGACTCTGGTCTTCAGGCTTAGGATCAGGCACCTTTACCTACTCAGATGCCACTCTGGTCCCATTGGTGATGGTGTCTTTTGAGGCAGGGTCTCTCCATACAGCAAGCATCACCAACAAGTGGGCAGAGTTCCCCACCCACACTGTTCACTGTAGAGTCCTTCATTCCTCATGCTTTGCTGTGTGAGTACAGAAGAGACAAGGAACAAGGGATCCGTGTGTCCCTCTGAAAGGGAAGCCATAGTCCCTGCAGATAACACACAGCAGCAATTCCTGGCTGCCCATGCAGTTCTAAGCAAGCCACATATGCCAGTGTAGTCCATCCTCTCAATACCAGACAGCAGAGAGGCTATAGAGATGGCTCAGTGGTTAAGAGCACTTGACCTGGGTTTGATTCCCAATAACACATGGTGGCTTATGCACCCTCTTCTGGCCTCTGAGGGCTCCTACACTCAGCATTGTGCACATAAACTCACACAGGCAAACACACATACATGTGACTTGATAAACTAATTTGAAAAAACAGACTGAAGAAACTGAGGAACAAATAGGTTGGGTCTAAGTACTTACGTAGGGAAGTAGGTTACACGCCTGCGGGTTGATAGACAGAACAAAGTGTTGAAGTGGTGGGAGCTTAGGGGTCTTCCCCCGAGGGCCACTCTTTCTGAGTGTGCGTGAGTCTCTCTGTCGAGCCATTTCCATGCCTCCAGAGACTGGACATGTGAGATCAGGAGATGGCTCAGGGGGTTGGTAAAGGCACTTGCTGCAACCAAGCCTGACGATCTGAGATCAGTTCTGGGGCCCCACATGGTGGAAGGGAAGAACAGACTCTTGCAGACTGGCCTCTGACCTCCACACATGTGCCATGGTACATTTACACGCATATACATACAAACAAATACAAATTCAAAATAAAAGAAGAAATCGGACATTCCTCATCCATCTTTGTAGTTATGAAAAATGCTATCCACCCATAGCCCAGGAACTATTGACAAAGTTGTTGGGAGAGGGAGAGTCCATTTTCTTTAAGAATAAAGGCCCTGTCAGCCAATTGTGCTCCAAGGAGTGGCACACCTCCAAGAATAGATGGATAGTACAAATTAGACTTGATGGGTGAAGAAAACAAAAACAATCCACAGAGTTGGGTATATAAGGAGGGGTGGACCTGGGAGGAGTTGGGGGGGATTGAATATGATTAAAAACAGATAATACAAGAGTCCCAAAGATCTAACTAAAGAGCGCTGGGTGTTGGTGGCGCACGCCTTTAATCCCAGCACTGGGGAGGCAGAGGCAGGCAGATCTCTGAGTTCGAGGCCAGCCTGGTCTCCAGAGTGAGTGCCAGGATAGGCTCCAAAGCTACACAGAGAAACCCTGTTTCGAAAAACAAAACAAACAAACAAACAAATCTAACTAAAGAGCGTAACCAGGACAAAAAATGACCATGTTCAAGTCCAAACTTTTAATAGGTTCTAAAGCCAATTTAGGGCCTTTTTCCTTAGAGTCTCTCATCCTAATGTGCTTGCCTGTGGTGTGCTGTGTCAGGCAAGTAGTGAATAGATATTGAACTAGCAAAGGACTTGCTATTTTTCCCTTCTTAGAAATAATGATGCATAATTATCACCATGTACATAACTTTAAAAAAAATTCTGGTATAAGAACTGTAGAAAAAAAAAAAAAAAGAATAAGGAAGTCTTCCAAATGGAAGGGTACACAGAAGTGGCTGTGGGCTTCGGTGCTCGGTGCTCTCATACCTAGATTTCCAAGTCCCAATCATCTTTTCCCTTTGGTAGCAAAGATTTATTTTACAGTTGTCTTGGATTTTGCTTAAAGATGACAAACTCTTGTTAGAGAGATAGCTCAGGAGCAAAGATCACTTTCTGGTTTTCATCTTTGTTTATGTTTACATTGATTTTTCTTTATTCTTGAGAATTTCTTACACGTACACAATGAAACAGTCACTTCCGCCCCCATATTCCTTGTGCAGTTCTCTCAAGCCCTCCCAATCAGTTCAGCACTTATTTATTTACTTATTTTACATCCTGACTGTAGTCTCCTCTCCCTCCCTCGATCCACCCCTCCTCCGTATTCACTCAGAAAGGGGCAGGCCTCCCATGGGCATCCGCTTGCCCCCTTTGTAGAGGCCCCCAGTTCAGTTCACAGCACACATGTTGGGTGGCCTACCAGCTCCTAAAAGCTGGGTCTCCAGGGGATCCAGTGCCCTCTCCTGGCCCTGTGAGTACTCACACACACATATACATAAATAAAATAATATCTTAGAAACTAGCTTAGGTAACCCTCAAGAAAACATACTGAATACCACTAGAGTCAAAGTTCCGACTTGCGTCTAGTTGAAATGTTAGCCAGGTAGCAGTGTGTGTCAGCCCCTCTTATGGCACTGTGGTTTGTGTCCTAGCAAATTCCCTGTTTTATAGGTCTCTGCCAAGATAGCTATACACACAAACACCACACACACACACACACACACACACACACACACACACAATACATACATACATACACAGATACACACACACACACCACACACAAATACCCAGATATACTCACTACGCACACAACCCCCACACACTATACACACACACACAATACATACATACACACAGAGACACACACACCACACACAAAGATACACACCCACCCATACACTAAAAAGATTGACTTGTTTTTTAGCAGTAGTATTTTATTCTCCAGTGGCTTTCACTGCCACGTTCCAGTGGAATGCTGGGATAGCTGTGAGTGTGGGGAGGGTGTGTCCAAACCCTTTGAAAGGCAGCTAGGCCCTTAGAGACCCCTCCCTGTGCTGGTGGAAGACAGGTGAGGATGGTCTCCAGAGAGCATGGGGGCGTCTGGTTGCATCTGGAAAACTGCATTTAGAGTTGAGCTTATTCCATCTTGAAAGAAGCAGCGTGAAAAAGTGACCCGTTTCCTGCCTTTCTCCACTTAAGGGCCAAGTGGTGGAAAACATCTCCAAGAGGTGCGGTGGCTTCCTTAGAAAACTCAGCTTGCGTGGCTGCATCGGCGTCGGGGACTCCTCCTTGAAGTGAGTGACAGCCCCACAGCTGATGACTGACATTTTCAAAAGCAAAGCAAACATGTTCTAGGCTTTCCTTCCGTTATGACCTTTCTGTGCTCATTTGCATAACAAGAGCTATGCCTTTGGAATAACTGACACCCCGCTGTCCTGAAGGGAAGAGCCTGGGGACAAATGACTCCACCTGTCTAGTGTGATCTCGAGCTCTCCTGTTGCCCACAGTGGGTTGGGCCCTCCTACATCAATTGGCAGTTGAGAAAAATGTCTCACAGACCTGGCCACGGGTCAGTCTGATAGAAGCAATTTCTTGAGTGGACCCTCTTCCCAGGTGATTCTAGGGTTATATATAGTTGACACATGAAGCTAACTGCGACATCAGGCTTGGTGGCACACATTTTTTTACCTGCTGAACCATCTCTCCAGACCATGAAGGTTTTTTCTTCTTCTTACTAAGATGGGGGGAGGGGTCTCTTGATTATGTAACTCTGACTGCCCTGGAACTTGCTATGTGACCAGAATGGCCTTGAACTCAGAGATCCTCACTACACTCAGGCTCCATGAGGGTTTTTCTAAAGTAAGGACATAGCAGAAAGTAGAGGAGAGGGGCTCTGTTGGGTAAAGGGAGGGAGGGCAGATGCAGGTCATGTGGCTTGACTGTGGTCAACACCCCTGCACTACCACAGTGAAAAATACCATATGAAACCGTCACTGTGTACATTGTGGAGGTACTAACACACACAGACCAGTTCAGGTGGGGCATGGTGGTGCACGCCTTTAATTCCAGCACTTGGGCGTGGAGGACAGAGGCAGGCAGATCTCGCAGAGTTTGAGGCTAGTCTGGTCTACAGAGTGAGTTCCAGTACAGCCAGGGCTACAGAGAGTTCCAGCACAGAGAAGCCCTGCCTCAGGGGCAGTAGAGACCAGTGCAGGCCCTCAAGCCAGATTTTGTACTTAAGAAGTGAAATGGCCTGAGTCTAGCTTAACAGGAAGCAAGGATTTACTAATAAGTCTGATGTAGCTTATCATGCAAGACATAAATCTAATAGCGGCCCCATTGAAGACACCAAAATGTGAAAATGGGGATTGCTGGTGGGGACTATGAAAGAAATGTCATTTGTTTATTTTAGACTCTCATGATACAGCCCTGACTGACCTAGAACTCTCTCTCTCTGTAGACTAGGCTGGCCTGGAGCTCACAGAGACCGCCTGCCTCTGCCTCCTGAGTACTGGGGGCTAAAGGTGTGCGCCACCATGTCCCATAGGAAAGCACTGTTGAGGGGCCAAAAACAGCAGTTTCCTCAAACATCTTTATTGATTATTTAGATATCCACTCAGCAGAGCTGCCCTGGACTCATTCATTCATCTTGCTGTAGATACCGTTTGTTCCTTTTTTACTGCTGAGCAGTAATCTGTCCTATAGCTGTCCAGGTGCTGTTGAGATGTCAGGCTTACCATCTGATAAACCTGTCTTCCGGTGTAGGGGAGATGGCTCAGGACTCAAGAGCACCTGCTGCTCTTGCAGTTTCCAGCACCCATGTCCAGTAGCTCAGAACCTGCTGTACCTCCAGCTCCAGGGGATCCTGCGCCCTCTTCTCACCTGCACTTACACGGCACACACACAGACACATACAAGTTCATAAAATAAAAGTAACCTCCTATAATTGTTCAGTGCTAACCGCACTGAACTGCAAAGCTTAGTCTAGCCTTAGGCGTGTTTGGAACACTGCTATGACCACAGAACTGGTCATATTTGTATATGATACAAAAATTGTCCAATATTTGTATCATAGTATACTTGGGAGTGTCTTATATACTTTATTGAACATCTGCATCTAAACACAACACAGTCTCTAGAGTAGTTTCTCTGTTCATTCTTGTTACCATGTGGCCAGCTGGCAGCTGTGCCCCTCCCTCAGTTATGGGTAGTTGAGGACCACCATGTGAGTGGCGGGAACTGAACTTGGATCCTCTAGGAAAACAGCAAGGGCGACTAATTAGCTTCTCAGCCATCCCCTCCCGACCCCCGAAATGAAGCTTTTAATGAAAGACACTTCACTGACTTCTTCCTTATGGAACATTAGAACTTGCTGCCAAACCTGTCCTGTGCTTTCCTTGTAAGTCTTTAAGATTTGTTTGTTTTTTTATTTTATGTGCACGTGAGAATGTCTTCACAGATGTGCACCATATGTGCCCGGTGCCCACTGAGGCCAGAAGAGTGTGTCACATCTGGAACTGGAGTTATAAGCTGCCTTGTGGGTGCTGGGAGCTGAATACAGGTTCTCTGCAAAAGCACGTGTACATGTCTATCTGTTGTGGGGTAGGGTGTGTGCATTTGAGTGCAGTGTCCAAGGAGCCAGAAGAGGGCACCAGATCCCCAGAGTTGGAGTTACAGGTGATTGTGAGCCACCTAGCATAGGTGCTGGGAACTGAGCTCAGGGCTCTTACCAGAGCCGTGTGTGCTTTCCACCACCGGGCCATCTCTCTAGCCTCCACTTGTATTCTGAGGTGCTTTATTCCAGTCTTCTTCACTGTTCATTATTAGACACTGATAAATGATCATTTCTTATATATATTGATTTTTCACCCCCTGCAGTGCTCAGGTGGAACCTCGTATGTGCCATGCATGCAGTCTGCCACTGAGCTGTATTCCATACCGGCTCCGGGGTGTGTGTGTGTGTGTGTGTGTGTGAGCACATGTGTACCCCGAGCCTGGTACACACCAGACAAACCCTGTACCCTAGCACGTGCCCTGCCTTGCTCTTTGCAGACTCACTCATCTGTTTTCTACCTGTGGTGTTCAATTTGTCATTAATCTATTAGTACACTGTCATCACGGTCACGCTTAACGTGTCTTCTCAAATGAACAAAACCTCTCACGTCTCCACGAAATGTCTTCACTCGGCACTGTAGCTGCATGTATTCTGGGTAAAATGAATAGAACTTTCAGTGCCCTTGCCCGCTGTCTTTGCTCGTGAGCCTTGAGTAGACTTGGCTAGAAGAGTCCTCTGTTCCTCGCAGATGTAGTTTCTCTGCTGTTGACAGCACGCAGGATTCTGCCCAGTGTTGGGCAGGTGGCGTGCATCCCACTGGTGTGTGGACCAGTTTTTGTTCCTGTAACTGCTCTGTTGAGTTGAAGTCTGGGATGCATCTGCAGTGTTTTTACTGTTCTCTTTTGGGTCGTATCCTTTGTTAGGCTTGGGGAAGGTAGGGTGCAAAATGACAGAACACTCGTGTAGCATGTGGGAGGCCCAGCACTGCAAAAATCAGCCAGTCAGTCCATCAATTCATTAAAAGCTTTAACATTTTTATTTTCTGTGTACAGTGTTGATAAGAACAGGTGTATGTACACCACATGCTCATAGTACCTAGGCCAGAAGAGGAGCCTGGGCTGCCTGTAACTGGAGTTATAGATGGTTGTGTACAGCCTTGTGGGTGCTGGGTACCAAGCTCAGGTCCTCTGCAAGAGCAGCCAGTGCTCATAGCCACCAGGTCATCTCTTCAGCCCCCGCCCCCTGTTAATTAATTAAAAGATGGTTAGGTTGGGCAGAGTGACATTTCATTTAGTCTACTTCTGCGTTCCTGAAGCTCAAATCTCCTCACCACCCAGTCCCAGAAACAATGACATATTTTCAAGTTTCGCAGGTGATCTTCCGATCTCATCCTTCCAGCTGATTCTGTCCCCAGCCTTAGGTAATTCCCTGTGTGTCAGTGTCAGGGTCCCACATGGCCGCTGCTGGCATTGTGTCCACACACTCTGTGAGCACCATGGACTCTTGGATTTTCTCGTTTGGCTCCATCCCTCAGAGTGAGCAGATGAGGCACACTGTGGTCCTGGTCCAGCCAGCACTCGATCCTCTGAGACTTGCTGAAGTCCAGTTTGAGGAAGATGCAGATTGCCTGAGAGCATCCAGGCAAGGAGTGGGAGTGGTTTGTAGTTACCTGCTTCTGGCCTTGCTGTCACACAGTCGAGGCAGCTGTCTTCATGCCTTGGGGTCCTTGTCAGTAAACTTGGGTCTTGATAGTAATGATACTGAGTGTCAGAGTGCCCCCAGGGCACAGTCAGGAGAAATGCCAGGCCTCCAGCTCAGATGGTCCCCAACTGGAGGAGGTTCAGGTGGCAGGCTGCTTGGGCCAGGCCAGCCGCAGGCAGTGCCTGAGAGCGTCCCAGGTTCCGGAGCTCTGTATCTGCCCTGGGGTGTGTGGCCTTAGCTGATCTGTATTTAGGAGGACTGGAAAAGCACTGTTCTAAGTGGATGGTTGTGCTGCCCTCTAGTGGCCATCCTGAAGATTGCAGCCACCCTGTGGCCACTGGTCTCTCGCAGTGCATCACTTTAAAGTCCTTTTGTGATACTTTGGGGGAAGAAAAAAGTAAACCACGCAACTTTTGCCCCCTCCCCCTTTTAGGACCTTTGCACAGAACTGCCGAAACATTGAACACTTAAACCTCAATGGCTGCACAAAAATCACTGACAGGTAAGGAATAAAGATGGGCCGGGGACAGAGTGGCCACAGGGAGGCGGGGTGAGAAACAAGGTTGAAATCGTCACTGGTGCGCCTGCCTCTTCCCAGCACGTGTTACAGCCTCGGCAGATTCTGCTCCAAGCTGAAACACCTGGATCTCACGTCCTGCGTGTCTGTTACCAACAGCTCCTTAAAGGGCATCAGGTGAGCGGGCTCGGCATTCGGGGTCAAGGAAAATACCCCGGCATGTGGGCTGGGGAGGTGGCGCGGCCTGTAAGGGAGTAAAAAGACCCAAGTTGCAATCT